CCCCAAAACCCCAAAACCCCAAAACCCCAAAACCCCAAAACCCCATCAGTACAGTTCATTGCAAATATGAGAGTAGCAGTAATGTTTCAAATAAAATTTATATACTTTCTGTTAATAAATTAGATATTAAAATAACATGGGCAATTGTAATGGCTGCGGCTGCTAGGATAGAGATGAAATTACTCAGCAAGTTGACTTGGCTATTGTACTTAATATTAGTCAAGTTTTATATTGGTTTAGGAGGATCAATATTTTATCAAAAAGAAGAAAGGAGACTTTAATTCTGCATAGAGCTCAAATGTAAGCAAAGTAATCTCATTCAATATTCTTGAAAATATTAAATTTACACCTTCATTGGGATTAGGTGATGTTGAGTAATTAAGCATCGTTGGTGAAGTTTTAAGCAAGTTGGAGAGGATATTTCCAAAGAAAAATGATCAAGAGGTTGCAAGAAGACATGGAAAGGGTAAGTTAAAATCAAAGATTAATCTACAACAAACCCATATTTGTTTGCCAAGATGAACTCAATATTTTTGCAAAATCTCTTATTAGTGTTAAATCAGAAATATTCTAACATTATTATCTTTTATAGGAGAAAGGACCTTCTAAGTACTTCCTTAAAGTCGAAGCAATGGAAACTGTGTCTAATAGAGTATTTAATCCTAACCAGAAGTAGGAGTTTAGACCAACTTATATTTATAAGACAGGAGCAAAATTTACTGGAGAATGGCTAGGTGGTTTTAGGAATGGTTTCGGTACAATGCAATGGCCAGATGGATCTACTTACTAGGGCTAGTGGGTACAAGGAAAAGCTGATGGCTATGGTAGATTTGTTTACCCAAATGGAGACCAATACATTGGAATGTGGAAGAATGATAAGGCAAATGGTTGGGGTGTATCGCACAAGATGGATGAAAATGGTGAAGGGCCGATCATACTAGAGGGAATGTTCAAAGGTGATAGACTTAGCGGTTTCGGAAGAATGAAGGTAGTTAAAGATGACACTCTTTACGAGGGTTAATTCTACTAAGGAAATAAAGATGGTTGGGGAATCATACTGTGGCCAGACAACTCTGTCCTTGAAGGCAACTGGACTAAGGGAAAAATAAATGGTGTTGGCTTGTATAAGTGGAGCGACGGTAGACAATACAGTGGAGAGTGGGTAGATCAGAAACTCCATGGTGTAGGTTTATACAAATGGAAAGATGGAAAAGTTTATAAAGGTGAATACACAAACGATAAGAAACATGGCTATGGAATCTACACTTTGCAAGATGGAAGAACTTACGAAGGATGGTGGGTCGATGGTAAATAGCATGGTATAGGGTGCTTTATTTTTGAAGATGGTAAGTCAAGACAGATGAAGAATAAAAAAGGAGTCTGGGAAGATGGGAAGAGAATCATGTGGCTAGAGAATCCAGAAGTGGTTAGAAAAATTGAATAGGGTGTCATTGATTATCGAACATTCATGCAAATACCTGAAAATTAAATGCGCGAGCATGTTAGTGGAAATTCGCATTTGTTTGATAAACCAGATTATATTGATGATCGACTTGAAGATATATAGGTGATCGTTAATTCTAATTCAGAGAGTCATCAAAAAGACAAAGAGTACTTTTTATAGAAAGTTCAGGAAACTAAGGAACGAGTTGACGAGGCAGTTGATTTTTCTGATAGACTTCTCACCTCAAGCTCGAAGTTCAGAGCACAGCAAAAAGGTTCATTTTAAAGTCAGAGAATGACGTTCGGCCTTAGACCTGACACTAACTGATATGCGAGGTCTATAATGCTTAACGTTTTTTCCCCAATAAAATAAGATTTTACTCCAAAATTTATGTGGATGCATTTTAATATACTTGAGTAAATTATCATTTTATTTACATTAAAAATATTTCAATGCTCTCAAGGATAATCTTCAACTGGGGTTTTGGGGTTTTGGGGAGATCGGAAGAGCACACGTCT